TATGTAATCACAACATGAAATTCAACTTGTAATTTTTGTAAAAATTTAGAATTTTGTCTAGCAAGTTCATGTGCGTGTGTACAGAGGCGCGGAGTCAAGATCTGAAAGTAGGGGGGGCTAAAAAAAAAATTAAAGGGAGGATTTACTAGGAAAAAAAAATTCAAACAAAAAAGATAATAATGATAACAACAACAATATCGATGAACATTTAAATAATGGTAAATTGAGTCAGCATATGAAAAATCCCAAAGTACAACTGATTTCAATTAATGACTCAGGTTTGATGTAAAACACCAGAATTAATACGGTGTCTGAGTCTGCACTGATGAATTTGAATTGGGTACAATAGACATGTATCAATAAATCAAATGTCCACTAAGAGCAAACTCAAACACCGTATTCAAATTCACCAGTGCAATAGCTATTTCAAGATGCCTATTTTTGGTGTCATTAACAAAACTGGAAGCTTCAAATCAATTAACCGAATCAAAAGCAAGAGCGGCATTATCAAGTTTTGAACCAATAAGCAAACGAATGAAAACGCAATAAGATCTAACACTTAATCTAAACCCATAAGAATCAAAAGCAAAATGAAATAAACTCAAAACAGTTTTTGGGTTTACTGATAAGTGTGTGTCAAAGAGAACGAATTGGGAAGGAGACAAATGGGCTACAATATTTTTACATTTAGAGGAATCTAGAAATGGGTTCCTAGAGTATGTCTTTGTTTCAAGCTACAATTCGTCCATGTGTTGGTCAATAATGGTTCGTCCAGCCTAATGGGTTTGGCCTTGTTTGGGCTCAGTTTTTGGCCTAGACTCTATTTATCATTTGTTTTACTATGAATTGGGCAACTTGGGTTGGGTTATGGCAGGACCATCGCCAAAACATTCAACCTTTAGGGACGGACATACTGTCCTAAATAATATCATCCCCTAAACTCTATTAGGGACAGTAAATAATATCATACCCTAATAGTTTATATATTAGAGATAATTTTTTTTTAATTATTATTATTATTATTATTATTATTTTTCGCTCTGTCGCATTTGTGTGCTGTTCTATATATATATATATATATATATATATATATATATATATATATTACAATTTTTTATAAGAAAAACTAAACCACAATAAAATCATTATCCACAATATCATTTTAGAATGAAGGGGGACAGGTAAAGGTCACTATTCCATGCCACAAACAATAGCTCTTAATTTCATAATAAAGCTAATAAAATCTCCAGTTTGTTAAACAAAAGCTAAAAGTATCTACTGGCAGCTTTAACAACAAATGGTTCCAAACATCCTCAAAAATCAAAACATCATGTTAAACCAAATGCATGCAACCTAACATAATCTCAAGCAAAAAGATAAAATGCTAGAAATCAGTTAGTCATCAAAATCACGTGTATAAAAAAATCTCTCTTTATAGTTCATTCAGGTGATGGTTGTGGTGTTGCTGATATTGCCACCATGTTGGCGGCGGTTGCTGGTATTTTCATCATATTGGTGGCGGTTGTTGCTGATACCAGCTTGGTGGGGCCCGCTGTTGTTGGGAATGTGATAAAGATTGTTGATGTTGGTGGAACCATGGTGGTGGTTGCATGTGTTGCAGTAGCTGTTGCTGTTCAAGCATCATTTGAATTATATCAAACTTTTCTTCTAAATTTGTTACTTTATCTATCAGTTGTACATTTCTTTCCTCAGCAATTTCTACCCTTTTCCCAGAAGCCTCTTCATAAGATGAGGAAGCACGTTGACGGCTTAGAACAGCAAACTATTTTCGAACCCGCGAAGGTATCCCTTCCTGATACCTAATTGGCTTTGGTATCTCAACATCATTTCTGATTGGATCGACTGGTACCATCAGAATTTTGATAAACTTGTGAAGCCTTCTCTTTCATTTCATCCTACAATTAAGATTGAAATTTTGAGAAACACTGTTGATCTAATGTTTTTTTTTTTTTCTTTCCAAAGTTTCTGAATGTGCTCATTGTCATGAATAGGGACATTTAAAAGCATAGATGTAATTGTTATCACAGTCAATTAGTTTCTAATCTATTGTTAGTTCACTTTATACTCTTGGCAGATAATAGTGCAAACAATTTGATGGATAAAAACCAATTGGACTTCTACAGTCTGTTCAACTGTATGGTTACTGAAAGAGAAAGCAACACATGCATTATACATACAGCTATTGAAACAAGTCAAATATAGACAAAACAGACCTCTTTTAAAGCCAACATGGGATAGGAAATGAAGGATTGTAGGCATAGGGGTGGTGTTGAATTTTTTGCAGCTTTATGGTTAACTCTTTCGGTATTGTTCTCAAATCCAGCCTTTTTGTCTTTGAATTACACTAAAAAGTTTGTGCAGCTTAGATTGTCACGTTTTTTTTTTTTTTTTTTTTTTTTTTTTTTTTTCGTAGTTGATATTTACACACGTCTTCATTGAGGCTCGAACTATTGACCTCCCTATGAGAAGTAAGAGTCTGGTACCACTAGGCCACTTGCGTATTGATAGATTGTCACATATTTCAATGGGCAATTTAGAATCTTTACAATTTACCGGAAGAGAAATCTAGATCAAATGAATCTAGGAAATTCTCTAAAAAATGAAATGGCAGGGGTTTAACAAAGCCAACTGAAAACAGGCTCAATATAAAAAATAAAATAAAATAAAATAAAATTGAACCTTATCAAGCATATGATATACCTCCATTTGTTGTCAATAAAGGATTCCTGGGAATCTTGCAGCAATAAGAACTCTATATATAAGCCAATTTATTTCTTTTCTATGGTCTTCTAAGCCACCAAATCTGGTGTACATAACTTTGTATGAAACAAATTAAAAACCTCTTGTGAAATTTACATCCTTCCATCATGCACAGAAAATATGTAAATACAAGAGCTTGCCTATCAAAGTGGCTTTATAGCATTGATGCAAAAAGGCCTTAGATGGTGTTATCCTTTTAATAAAAATTCAAAGTTGAATTCAAAATTATTTTCACATCAATCAAAGAAATGGTATAATCCATTACCAAGTCATCTCATGTTAAACAACAAAGGTTGAGCTATTGAGCTGAAAGAACAGTGCAAGATATACTTGGAAAAATATAGAAAACAGCTTCTTACAGGCTAGAACAAGAATGAGAAAGCTTTATTAAATAATGTATGTGCAGACATGAAATAAGAATGCCTCAACAAAAACACTAGACAAATCCAGTCACCCACATAAAAATAAAAAAAAAATTATAGATTAAAGAATGAGCTTATGACAACTCTAAATCTAACAGAAATTTATGTACTGTGAGAAGAGATCAGTTTAATTTTTGTTTTTTTTTTTGGGTCAGAGATCAATTTAATTTACCCTTTCTATCATCATTGACAGTTCGGGCCAGGAAACAAAGGAAGATCATAATGCCAAAATAAAATATATAGTTCCGCTAGGTTTAACTTACGTAGTTCTGCTTAGCTATCTCATTTACCCATCCAATTTGTTTCGTAAAATACTTGTCCTTGTACACGTGAATAGAAGGATCCTCCTGATTACTCTCAACTTCCTCATCTTCTTCGTTGCGCCTTTTTTCAGCTGCACACAAAGTAATGGTTGACATTGGACATTAGATGGTTTAGATGGATAATAAATTGAAATTTTATAATAATTATTTTATATATCCCATACATAACCATTATATCCAATTGGTATACCTTTATCCGTCCCACTACTCAAGAGATGCTGCTTCACTTGTTTAATGTCAAGATACTGCCTGTTTTTGCAATGACCACACGACATCGGGACTTACCATCTGTCCTTGCATGACGACTAGCCATCATTAAGAAGTTTTCTATGCCATCAAAATACTCTCGACTACCTAGTGTGACGATGAATCAAAGAATTAACCATGTAAATGGCTATACAAAATAAATAAATAAATAAATTTCAATTATAAACAAAAAACCTACTAGTTGTTATAACTTTTTAATTAGAGAAACCAATCAGTTTTGGTGCACATTTCAAAAAAATAGGGACCCCTCGTGTTTTGCCTACTTTTGGACCGTTGTGATATAATGGTATCGTGCCTTTTAATATATTCTACATTTCACCATTCAGAGGCAAATAATCAGTAAATTCACGAACTCAATTTGATTCGGTCTAAGTGATAATTATTTGTAATGTAAGAAATAATTATTTTCAAAAAGTATTTTAATTTGATATTTCGCCAAACATTGTCAGTGTAATTAACCTTATAATATAATATAATGATAATAAATAGATAAGTATAATATAATGTTAATAAATAGATAGATATGATGAAGGATACAAATGTTAAAAGTTTATTTAATGTCTTGTCCCGTAACAAATGGGGTTTTGGAATTCCGGTTTTGATATAAGCTTACCATCCAAAGTGAGGTGTAACCTATATCATAAGTATCTGTATATTCTGATTTAATCCATAGACACAATAATAAAGCTTGTTCAAATGGAGGCATTGCTTCTTTTGAGGTGTTTTGTTTGTCGACTTTGAAAGTTGAAGCTGATTGAAGCTGATTCTCTTCTAAAAAAAGCACAAACAGGTAGAATGTTTGCAATTGTGGCATAATTCGGTACTGTTGGACCTTTTAGCATTCCACGAAACAAAGTTAAATGCATCAATTTATTCTCTGCAAACCCCGCAATCATTGCATTCCATGAAACAACATCCTTGTCAGCAATTTTACGAAACGCCGCATATGCATCATCAAAAACATGCCCAGATTTAGCATACATGGAAACCAGATAAGAGTGCACACTCTTTCCAGCATCAAAAACTCTACTTAGAACCCACAACCATCGCTAACATAGAAAAGAAAAAAATGGTATTGTTATTTCTCTCAACCCTACCAACAAGGGCATCTCATTCATCATACCAATTACTTCCCATTGGGTACAACAAACCATTGTTGCGTTTCGGCTGGTGTTGGTTGGCGCCGCTGGTGGTGGCAGTTACAGCGATGGAGATGGTGGTGCGGTGGCGGCCGGTGGTTGCCAGATATGTGAAAACTGGATCCCAATTTTCAATCGGTGTGGTTAAAGGGCGGTGGTGGCGCTTAGTGATAGGAGGTGGACCGTGGAGAGGAGAGCGAAAGAAGGGGAGAGAGAAGAAGAGGGGAATAGTGGGAAAAAAGAAAAAAAAAAAAAATAAAACAAAAAAAGAATATTTTATTGGGCAAAAGTTTCATTTAACATGCCCATATATTTTAAACAATTTAACAATATAATAATAAGGATAAATAAGATAATTCACCACAAAATCTGACATAGGAGTCTGTGTAAAAATTGACAAACCTCAAAAAAAATTTCCAATTAGACTTGATGAGAGGTTATTATAGTTTATCCTTTTTTAATTCCTAGTTGCAATTGGAGTATTTTGTTTTTTTATCCTAGTTACAAGTGGAGTTGATTTACTCTGACTATCCATACTACCATTATATATAGATGGAAGAGCTCTCTTCTTTCTTTCTATACTTTGTTTCTATATTTAGTATTAGTGTGTTATCAAACTCTGTGCGAGTTGCTTTATGGAGAACAAGAAGAAGAAAACTTTGGGGCGCAGAAAGATCGAAATCAAGAAAATAGAGAAGAGAAACGATCTAATGGTTTCTTTCTCCAAGCGCAGGGGCGGACTCTTCAATAAGGCTGCTCAGCTAAGTGCATTGTGCGGTGCCAATGTTGCAGTCGTCGTCAAGTCCCCCAACGCCGGGAGGATTCATTCCTTCGGAAGCCCATCCGTGGACGCCGTCCTCAACCGCTTTCTCTACCAAAACCCTAGTGATCATCATGATCAGGAAGTCATGGACAAAGGCAAAGGCAAGAAAGATGAAGAAGAAAAAGTAAAGGAAGATAGGGATAGGGTTTGGTGGGACGCAGGGATTGATGAATTAGGGTTGAATGAGCTTGAGGAGTACATGACTGCACTCGAAGGTTTGAGGGAGAACGTGGTGGCTCGGGCGAATGAGATGACCATGGCGAGTGCTTGTTCCTCCAATGAGATGCCCATGACGGCTGCTTATTCTTATATTGATCCTTTTAGCGATGGTCTAGAATTTGACTTTACTGAGTCTGATCTTGATTTTCTTAATCAGATCATTAATAATTAGGGTCTCTACAGTGTGTGATTTTGATGTATAAAATGAATTTAATATTGATAATGAAGTTTTCTGCCTGTGTTTTTACTTTTTGCAGCAATAATATTATACAATGCTAAAATCATGCCCACACTGAAATTTGATAAAAAAAGAATCAAACTTCAAATTGACTGAAACTCTGTCGACGTATACAATGGTTATCATACATTTAAAAAGGAATATAAATATACTTATATCCAATCAATAATTTCACCGTCCTCGCTATGCTTTTTTGTTTTGCCAAATCAGGTGCCAATCCACCAAATCCATGCTCCGCTTTCGCACTACTTGTCTGTAAACCACCATGACTAGGAGGAAATCTTATACAAAGAAGGATTGGTGTTCCAACACAAGTCTCTCGAAGTGTGCTCTCGCTGTGTGTGTGTGTGTGTTATAGTAGCTACCCGTTCCGCCGCGTCTTGCTTTGTTTGTGCCCCCTTTCCAAATGTATTGACATGCTTGCTTGCTTGTCAGAATTCCCTATTCAATTACCAGTACAGAAAGGAAATAAAGAGCTCTACCATTCGATCCTACCTACGCTTGCCCGAGGCACCTCTACTCTATACAGATGAAAGATTATGGGCTGGAGAGCTTTCCATCTTTATGGTGGATTGGTCAGCTCATGAGCCATGATGAGACTTGGAGGATATATTTATTATACAAAAGAATTTTCAGAAAACTCTATCAATGTATATAATGGTTTGCAGCGTCATCTTCATTATTAATAAAGCAAAAATCCTTAACATGGTATCTACATCAGTACCATCACCGAGTACCTGCAATAAAAGAAAAAAGTAAAATGTTATTTGCTATATATTGTAAATGGAGGTGAGTCATGACAATCTTTAGCCTGATTCAAATTCAGAGCTAAAGATCTAATACAACAGAATGCAAAATATTAATAGTAGACATCAGAGAAACAATAATAATCTCCAAGTTCAAAATAAATACTCAAGCTTTTAGCAAAAGCAAAAATGAAAAGGCTGATCGCTGTCAATATGCCTACCTCTACCAACATATGAGAGTAACTATGAATGAAATTTTACTACCAAGGCCATAAACTGTAGATCTAACAACAGAAGAGTGCCAACCTCGATAATTATAAAGACTAATTTTAAAAAATGAACACACTAGTACTATAGCATTTAAGATATAAGCCAACCATGATTACAACATTACCAGATGGGTACCAGTAGGCTCAGATTGATTGCGGCAACGTTGAGTTGGGGCAAATTGTTGGTCCTGGTTATCCCTAGAAACCATATGCTGCTGCAATTTGAGAAGAATATTAAATTTAATAGATAAGTAATATATACAGCATGACCCCTATAATTTGTTCACTAAGAAATGACGATTAAAAATTCTAAACGTGTATTTTAAACCTCAAACCCACACTTCTATTAATATTTGAATCTTCACCTCCATTTACCAAATTATACGCCATTTGATAACAATAAAAAACAACACTGATGTAAAACATTTAAACTTCAGAGCTATATGATACCTCAATTTCACCCTTTCCAAAAAATTCCGCAGCATCCCTGCCAACTTACATTTGTGATGGCTTTCTTTGGTTGAGTGAAGTTATGAGTAATACGATGATTCTTTCACCCAAAGAAAAGAAAAGGAAACCAAGAGAAGTCTTCTCCTAATTTTATTTTATTTTATTTTATTATTATTATTGTTGATGCAAGAATCTGTACGCTCCGGAACCCTTGGCGATTCCTGCAAAACAAGAGAAGTGATGACCGGTGTGGTGCCGGCCGGGTGCACTCTGACGGTCAAGTTAGTCCTTGACGATTCAATATCCGATAAGGATTACATATGAAATTTATGACGTACCTTTTTAAGTTGACCGATCATTTCGTTTATAGAAGCATTAATGGCAGTAGTTGTTGAAGCGAGATTCTCCCCTTATCTTATTTCTCATTTGACTTTGAGTTGCCTATTATTTTTATCCTTATCAGTTGCCCCCTATTCTCGTGCTTGCTTGTCAATGATCGAGAATGTCAAAGTGTTTTTCGATTAACATCTCTTTGGCAGAAATCAATCTCTTTTTAGGTTAACCCTTGTTGGGCGACCTCTTTTTGGTTGACCTCTCTTACTCCTTTAATAAGGATGCAGATTTGTCCGAACTTCATGAGCTGAGGGAGTAGGCTTTCTTAAGCTGAATGAGCTTACCTTTTAAAAAGGGAAGTATATTTACGAGCCTTACTCAGCTCGCCCCTTAAAAAGGAAAATATATTTTACGAGCTTCACTCAGTTCGCCCTTTAAAAAGGGAAGTATATTTTACAAGTTGATTTCGACCCCTTTTAATACGGAGGACAACAATTATGAGCTTCATTCAGCTCAGGCCCTTATAGTACGAGGAACTTTTATATCAATCCCTTATAATACGGGGAATGACAATTACGTGTTTCATTCAACTCGCCCTTTAAAAAGGAATATATATTTTATGAGTTTCACTCAGCTCGCCCTTTAAAAAGGGAAGTATATTTTACAAGTTGATTTCGACCCCTTTTAATACGGAGGACAACAATTACGAGCTTCATTCAGCTCGGGCCCTTATAATAAGGGGTACTTTTATATCAATCCCTTATAATACGCGGAATGGCAATTACGAGCTTCATTCAACTCGCCCTTTAAAAAGGGAGTACGTTTTCCGAGCCTCATGAACTTATCCTTTTAATATGAGAGGTTCATCCTCGTGAGTCACCTCATCTTTTTAATAAGAGAAATTGATTTTCCAGAGCTTCGTGAGCTCGTATCTTTAATAAGAGAGGTTAATTTTCTGCCCCCATTCCCAAGCTTGCCTCTCACACGCAAGGAACACTAATGTTCTCTTTCTATTTGCAAAGTTAGTAAAGCAAAAATAGAGGAACAGATGTACAGTTTGAACGGATAATATATATATATATATATATATCAGAAGTGGTACAATTAAGGCAAAAACTTATCATTGAGCATTATAGGACCAAAATCATCCATGGAGCTAGCAATTGTTCTCTAAAATAAGAAAGTGTAATCCTGCTCTTTTTTTTTATGATTTATTTTATGACTACTCACTCAAACAAAATATGAGTTAGAAAATTTAAAAATTAAGTCGCAATAACAAAGTCATTATGATGTGGTTTGTACCCACTCATATGACACCAAACAAAGAATTTTCATTTAAGAAAATTTAGATATCAAATGATTATGACCATTCAACATTCTCCTGGACACATTAAAACAGCCCCAAACTGTATTTTTTTAACCCTGTGAACAGTACCCGCGGGTACTGTTCATGTGAACAGTACTCACAATTTTTTTTTCTAACCTTGTGAACAGTACCGCGGATACTATTCCCTTGGGTAATCCCATAAGATATGATTTTTGGGGAACTCATAGCAGGATACACAAATATTTTTCAATAAATAAATAAACTTTCAGCCCAATACCATGGTACTGAGGTACATTTTATTTCCAAATCCCACATTGGAAGTGTATTTGGGTGGTCCAGATCTTAAGTGGGTGTGGCAAAGCCAAGTCACTTTGGACAATCCATCCTACAAAAGTGGTATCAACAAGCCCAAAGGGTTTGGGGAATTGTTGCACAGGTCCTACGCACGAGATTTGTGTTACCATATATATATATATATATATATATATATATATATATATAATTGGAAAGTAATCTGGGCCTTTGAAAAAAAATTATTTTAAGTGGTAGACTGTAGGTTTATTTGGGGCATGCATATTGTCATGATTCAATGCCCATTCAGCAACAATTTGTATTCTACAAAATCTTAATCAAATATCTCATATAATAGTTATTGTACATACATCTAAATGAAAATTAAATATTAATCAAATATTCAATTAAGCATTCAATACACAGTAGCGTATACTGAGTAAGCAATCAAACCAAAGATTCAACCTTATTCTATGTGTTTGGTCCTGATAGGTTATACCAAACTGAGTCATAAATTTTTATGTATAATGATCGCATACATGATTAATAAAATCTGATTGCATCATGTGTAAATATATATATATATATATATATATATATATATATATATATATAATATATATGTATTTAATTTTTAATAAAGATTTAACAGTAAAAATCAAGTTGGGAAACTTATCTGATTAGAGACCCATCATAACGTAGGTGTTGCATTGTGGTTGAAACGCATTGGCCGGATCTACATCCTTCGGTAGATCCTTCAATCGTGTGAGGAACACAGATCCTTCAGCCATATGAGGAACACGGGCTTCGGAACACGGGTTTTAGACGTCTGAAAAGAGTTGGATTCAAATCCATACTCTCCTTCGACTTCATCACGTTGCTAACTTAAAAATTTTAATTTCAAGTCACGTGACTGGAATTGGGACTTGGAGTGACTTTTTTGTTTCTTCGGTTCCCACAGACGACGTCAACTGTTGAGCCCTTGGCAATTCCTGCAAAACAAGAAAAGTGATGACCGATGTGGTACCGACCGGGTGTACTCCGACGGTCAAGTTAGTCCTTGACGATTATATCCGATAAGGATTACATATGAAATTTATGGCGTACCTTTTTAGGTTGACCGATCATTTCTTTTATAGAAGCATTAATGGTAGTAGTTGTTGAAGCGAGATTCTCCCCATATCTTATTTCTCATTTGATTTTGAGTTGCCTATTATTTTTATCCTTATCAATTATTATTATTTTATAAAAATAACCAGGAAACCTTTAGCATGTTATAACTTGAACATAATTCTTCATTTTTAGTTGACGGACTGGTTTTCAATCGCTTTGACCCCGTCCTGCTCAAGGGTTGAGGAAATGAGAAAAAACAAGAACCGCATAGGAAATTCAGCAACCAAGACAATAAATAATTATAAAGCTTTCCACTGATTGTTGTTGTAATTAAACACTATTTAAAGTTCCAACTGTTGGTACCACATCTCTTTGTGTGATGTCCCTCCAGTTGCATAGGTGTGAGAAGAGTTACGAATATCCATAAAGTACCACGCTATGTTCTGCCATTAAAAATCATAAAACAATGATACAAATATACTACAAGAAAAGCCATTCGTCAGCAAGAAAACTGTTCTACCTAAAGGGGCATAATTAAAATTTATTCCCATGGTTATTCCCTCTGGAATGCATCTCAATTAGAAACAGAGGAATATTTATGAACTACAGTGTTATAGTCCATAGATTATGCCGTCAAAGCAGAAAGTTTTCTACTCCATAGATAGCTGTAAGAAGATCACACGAGAAGAAGAATCAAAACAATCTCCAGCTATCCATTTACAAATCTGTTGGTGGGTTAACTATAGACAACGGTGATAAAAAAAGAGAACAATAACAACAACAACTACTAAAAAAAAAAAACAAGGAAATAGAAAAGAGAATAATAATACTACAAATCATGATCGCAAAATAGTGGGAGTTAAAGAGAGAGATCTTCTTTGATGCTCAATCTATTTGAGAGACTGAAGTACAAGTCGAACAACATATAGACCAAGAGATGAAATTCAAGATAGTTGGATCATATGCAATGCAATAAACAGATGTATATGTCTACGGAGATTCTGTCCTCAAAAACATTAGCAAACCAATACAAGCTAGACCCATGGTTCAATTAGGTAACAGTGGTTCAGCTGGTATACATTTGAATCTAGTAATGACTTCAAATTGCAGCCAAATTGACATTAAATTGGGTTTGGCAAAATTAGTGTGAAACAAGCCTTCATTGAGAATCAATCCAGAAAAATAAAATAATGATGTGAGCCCATTTTGTGGAGGAAAAGTCCCTCAATACAGAATACCAAACCCCTGTTCCTGATACCTTCACATGCAAACAGAATGAACGGAATGGTAGACTTCATACTGATGTTATTCGATCTCCTTCATTCCTAGTCAAATGCATTGTTTGGGATGCTCTTGATATTGCTGGAATTAGTCTTCAAGATTTTTTAAGTTCATAGGAGTTTAAGGTTGTTGCAGGTTTTGTCTGCTCTACCCTAGATGTGCTTGTGTGTCTTAGTGAAGAAATGTCTTCACTTTATTCTTGTACTATATTGTTTTATCTTATAAAATTTTTTCTTCATTTAGGAAAGGAAAAAAAAAAAAAAAAAAGAATCTTTCTGTTTTCTCTCTAAAATCCTCTGCCTACTAAAGTAAATTTGTCAATCAACTAAGAATAGAATAATAGTCATGGATTTGGTAAATACTGGTAATCTGTACTTCTCATTCCAGCTTAAGGTCTCTATAGCATTAAATTGATGAGAACTGAAATGAAAATTATAAATGTACTAAATATGAACAAAAATGTTAAATTTACAGCAAAATTTTTAAAGACGTAGAGAGAGAAGAGAGACAAATGATGGACTATGATGAAATACCTAAATTATTGAGTCAAAACTGCAAATTTTGTCTCAATCACCAATATTTCAAGAATGAAAACCAATATGGAGATTGTACCTTCGAAACTAGGATCGGAGCTCAATAATCTGAGATCTATTCAATAATCAGTAGCAGAATACACCTCCAATCCATCTCCATTTGCTGTCGTCTCCATTTGACGGTCCAAATTATTGAGTCAAAACTACAAACTTTATGTGTTTGTGAGTTTTTCTGTATGCTCGTTTTTAAGCTTTAGTTTGCCTTCTTTTACTTCCAAGGTCTAAAATTGGGACTCCTATGCTCGTTTTTAAGCTTTAATTCCTCCGTGTTGGGTTGCTCTTTGTAAAGTTTTCATCTTTTATGCTAATTACCAATTATCGAGGAAAAAAAAAAAACTTGAGGGTATTTCACGCATATATTGGAAGATTGGTCTCTTTATCTCAATTTTCTGAAAATTCTTATTTAAAGCAGCTACAATAATAGTTCTTCACCAAACATGACCTTAAATTTTTCTGAGAAAATTGGACCTAGTACAGCTAATAAAAATCATATTTATGGACAAGCTGCTGAATTCAAATCCCAAGTGAGACCGACATTAAAGCTACTGAGTCATGGCAATCTTGACCATGCCCTAAATCAAATTCAGGGCTAAAGATCTAATACAATAGAATGCAAAATATTCAGTGTTCTACAATCATAGAAGACATCCAAACTAATAATAATCTCCAACCTCAAAATAAATTACTCGAGCTTCTAGCAAAAGCACCAACGAAAAGGCTGATTGCGATCAATATGCCTACATCTACCAACATACGAGGGTAACTATGAATGAAATTTTACTACCAAGGCCATAAATTCAAACTGTAGATCTAACGATAGAGAAGTGCCAGCCTTGAAAATTATAGAGATTAATTTATAAAAATGAACATAATAATACTATAGCATTTAAATATAAACCAACCATGATTTCAACATTACCAGATCAGATGGGTATCAATAGGCTCAGATCGATTGCGGTAAGCTTGAATTGGGGTAAATTGTTGGTTCTGGTTATCCCTAGAATCCATGTGATGCTGCAGTTTGAGAAGAAGATTCAATTTGATAGATGAGTAATATATATACAGCATGACCCCTATAACACGTTCAATAGAAACATAACGATTAAAATTCTTATATGTGTATTTTTAAACCTCAACCCCACACTTCTATTAATTTTTTAATCTTCACCTCCATTTACCAAATTATATGCCATTTGATGATAATAAAAAAACAAAACTGATGTAAAAAATTTAAACTTCAACCCGAGTATCCTTGCTAACCGAAAACATTTTTATACTTCAGAGCTAAATGATACCTCACTTTCAACCTTTTTAAAAAATTTCCCGGTATCCCTGCCAACTTACATTTGTGATGGCTTTCTTTAGTTTTGTTATGAGTAATAAAATGAATTTTTCACCCAAAGAAAAGAAAAGGAAAAAAAGAAACGAGTCTTCTCCTAATTTTTTTTTTCAAAAAAAAAATAATAACCAGCAGACCTTTAGCATATTATAACTTGAACATGATTCTTCATTTTCAGTTGTCAGAGGGGTTGCCAATTGCTTTGAGTCTGTCCTGCTCATGGGTTGAGGAAATGAGAACAAACCAGAACCGCATACGAAATTCAGCATATTGAAAACAATAAATAAGTATAAATACTATTTAAAGTTCCAACTGTGTTCATCCAGTTGCAAATAAAAGATTCTAAACCACATGCAGAGCAGCTAAGAAGCACATGCACTAGACATTAAGGAGTTGTATCTTTGTTGAATACCGATCGCCCTTTAAGGACATTTTTTTACCATGCGTCTGCCACTTCATGTACGTGTCCACAATTTAAAAATAAATTTAACTATTTTAGACACTTAACTGACACTTCCCTAAGCACTTGCCTAGCACAAACACATCTATAGTAGCCATCAAAAATCTTGGAAACAATATGACAAAAAAAATTCAGTGTCTCAAACATTTATATATATTGACATTATACACCTGGTTACAAGTGAATCATACCATGATATTTTCATAACAAAAACATAATTGTGACAATCATTACATCTCGTTGTGTGATGTCCCTCCAGTTGCATAGGTGCGAGAAGAGTTAAGAATATTTATGAAGTACCTCACTGACACAAATATACGGCAAGAATAGCCATTCTTCAGCAAGAACACTGTTTGTTCCACCTAAAGGGGGAGAATTAACATTTATTTCCATGGTTGGTCCTTCAGGAATGCATCTCAATTAGAAAAAGAGGAATATTTAGGAACTACAGTATTCTACTCCACAGATTATGCCGTCAAAGCAGAAAGTTTTCGACTTCACAGATAGCTGTAAGAAGATCACATGAGAAGAAGATTCAAAATAGCCTCCATTTATACAAGGATACCTTGATTAGATAGAATTCAACAAATGAGTGTTGTTACAACCATTTAATGTATCTCAAGAATCACCATTTACAAATCTGTTGCTGGGTTAACTTTAGACAACGGTGATAAAAATAAAAAAAATAAAAAAAAAAAGAGAACAATAACAAGAAAAGAAAAGAAAAGAAAAGAAAAGAAAAAAGAATAATAATAATACTACAGATAATAATAGCATAGTGGAGGATTAGAGAGAGGTCTTCTTTGATGCTCAATCTATTTGAGAGACTGAAGTACATGAACAACATATGGATTATGGACCAAGAGATGAAATTCAAGATAGTTGGATTATATGCAATGAAATAAACAGATGTACATGTCAACGGAGATTTTGGCCTCAAAATCATTAGCAGGCCATTACAAGCTTGAGCCATGGTTCAATTAAGTAACAGTGGTTCAGCTGGTATCCATTTGCATGTAGTAATGACTTCAAATTAGGTAACAGTGGTTCAGCTGGTATCCATTTGCATATCTAGTAATGGCTTCAAATTGTGGCCAAATTGACATTAAGTCGGGTTTCGCTAAATTAGTGTGAAACAAACTTTCATTGAGAATCAATGCAGAAAAATAAACCCCTGTTAAGCCCATTGTGTGGAGGAAAAGTCCCCTCAATACAGAATACCAAACCCCTTTTCCTGCTACCCCTGTTAAGCCCATTTTGGGTTAACTTTATTTTGTGGAGGAAAATGTCCATGAATTGTGTAATAGCAAAGTAATAAAATGTCTTGACTGTCTATGTATACATAAAATAAAGAAATAGCTAATCTTAAACATAAGCTTTAGAGCTCAAACCAATTACCGATCTATGATGTGGATGAGAAAAATTATCAGAAATCAATCAATGGAGTGGTGGATTTTGCCCTTCAAAAATGTAAATGCAAAGAGAAAAAGAAGGTTTGTGAAACCGAATAGCATTTTCGGCGAACCCACATTTCTGATTCTTTTTTTGTTCTGTTGCTTTGGAGTGAGAATTAGCTTAAATTTAAAGCAAAATTTCAAAACACGTAGAGAGAGAAGAGAGTCGGATGATGAAGGACTATAATGAAATACCTAAATTAGAGAGTCAAATCAAAACTGCAAATTTTATCCCAATCACTAATATACCAAGAATGAAAATGAATATGGAGATTGTACCTTCGAAAATACGATCTGAGGTTCAATCCATCCCCATTTGCAGTCATCTCCAGTTGATGATCAGCAGACCTTTAGCATATTATAATTTGAACATGATTCTTCATTTTCAATAGTCAGAGTGGTTGTGAATTGGTTTGAGTCCGTCCTGTTCATGGGTTGAGGAAATGAGAACAAACCAGAACCACATAGGAAATTCAGCAATCAAGACAATAAATAAGTATAAAGCTTTCCACTGATAGGTGCTATAATTAAACACTATTTAAAGTTTCAATTTTTTGTACCACATCTCGTTGTATGATGTCCCTCCAGTTGCATAGATGTGAGAAGAGTTAAGAATATCCATGAAGTACCTTGTTATGTTCTGCCATAAAAAATCATAAAACAATGATACAAATATACGACAAGAATAGCCATTCTTCAGCAAGAAAACTGTTCTACCTAAAGGGGCATAATTAAAATTTATTCCCATGGTTGTTCCCTCTGGAATGCTTCTCAATTAGAAACAGAGGAATATTTAGGAACTACAGAGTTATACTCCACATATTATGCCGTCAAAGCAGAAAGTTTTCTACTCCACAGATAGCTGTAAGAAGATCACATGAGAAGAAGAACAAAAATAACCTCCAGCTATCCGAGGAAACTTTGATTAGATAGAATTCAATAAATGAGTACTGTTACAACCATTTAATGTCATCATAAGAATCACCATTATAAATCTGTTGGTGAGGTAACTTTAGACATTGGTGATAAAAAAAAGGGAACAATAACAACAACAAAAAGGAAAAAGAAAATGAAAAAAGAATAATAATAATAATAATACAGATAATGATAGCAAAATAGTGGGGGGTTTAAGAGAGAGATCTTCTTTGATGCTCAATCTATTTGAGAGACTGAAGTGCAAGTCGAACAACATATAGACCAAGAGATGAATTCAAGATAGTTGAATCATATGCAATGAAATAAACAGATGTACATGTCTACGGAGATTTTGGCCTTAAAAACATTAGCAAGCCATTACAAGCTTGACCCATGGTTCAATTAGGTAACAGTGGTTCAGCTGGTATCCAATTGCATCTAGTAATGACTTCAAATTGCGGCCAAATTGACATTAAGTCGGGTTTCGCTAAATTAGTGTGAAACAAACCTTCATTGAGAATCAATGCAGAAAAATAAAATAATGATGTGAGCCCATTTGGTGGAGGAAAAGTCCCTCAATACAGAATACCAAACCCCTGTTCCTGATACCTTCACATGCAAACAAAATCTTTCCGTTTTCTCTCTAAAATCCTCTGCCTACTTTTGTAATTTTTTCAATCAACTAAGAATAGAATAACAGTCATGGATTTGGCAAATACTGGTAATCTGTACTTCTCATTCCAGCTTAAGGTCCCTACAGCACTAAATTAATGAGATTTGAAATGAAAATTATAAATGTACTAAATATGAACAAAAATGTCTTGAATTTTGTAATGGTAAAATTACTAAAAATGTCTTGACACTCAATATATACATATAATACAGAAATAGTTAATCTTAAACATAAACTTTAGAGCTCAGCCCACTTACCGATCTAGGATGTGGATGAGTAAAATTATCAGAAACCAATAAATCACATGGTGGATTTTGTCCTTCAAAAATGTAAATGCAAAGAGAAAAAGAAGGTTTGTGAAACCCTAAGCTGCTGGGAATTGCACTTTCGGCAAATCCACATTTAAGATTCTTTTTTGTTTCATCGCTGTGGAATGAGAATTAGGTTAAATTTACAGCAAAATTTCCAAGGACGTAGAGAGAGAAGAGAGTCAGATGATGAAGGACTATAATTAAATACAAAAATTAGAGAGTCAAAACTACAAATTTTATCTCAATCACCACTATTCCAAGAATGAAAACCAAAATGGAGATTGTACCTTCAAAACTATGTTTCCGCTTGTCTACTCTAAAAATTGGCATATGAAAACAGGTATGTGTCGAAAAGGGGAAAAAAAAAATCCTACTTTTTTAAAGAATGAATGTCAAAGAGGCACAAGATCATCCCTTTTTTTCACACAGAAATAACATATTCAGGATGCAAATTTCAAAATATTACAATTTGAGACAATACAAACGTCATGGTTAGCAAACTAGTTTCTCATGCTCCAACAAATGAAGTGCTGTGAAGCCCTTGGTTTAGTGCACAAAGAAAGAGGTGACATTCATTTACTAATAATAGTATGACAAGAATTCCAGGTAGGAAATGCTTAGAGTTGAGAACCTGAATTCCTTTACTGAGATATAAACATTGATAGAGATATAGCAAGGAACTTTCTCTGAAACTTCTTGACATAACTCACCTCACCTCCCAGGCCCATGTGCCAAGAAAAGAAATTCATGGCCAAAGTCCAGGCTTCATGGCATTGTCACTTAGAAGCCTTGCCAAAATGTGAATTCACCTACAAAATGGAAAAGAGAGCATGAGTCGACCAGAATATAGGGTGATTGAAGTTAAGTACTAACATGTATCAATATTAGAATTTCCTTTGGGTTGAGACAGCATACTGTTTGAAAAGGTCTAAATTTTGTAGTAGCAAAAAACCATATGATTCAGTTAGACCCAAATCATCCATCTTATTAGTTCGAGTTAAGAAAGATGAATGTACAAGTACAGTGTAGTAGAATATTCAGTAATAAGGACTGATGGAGAAGATTTAAGCAAGTAGATTTGAGCATCTTCACACCAGAGCATATTAACAATTCTGTCTTTTAGATTTCTAGACAATTCAATAAATGTTGGTTTTGAGTACATAACACATGCCTGCTTTTGAGGGCACTGCAAATGCTAGTTTTTGAGTCGATTAATCAGAACTGAAATTTCTCTTTGATTTGATCATCCAAGGTACTTAACATGCTGTAAACAGTACTTCTCTGCGGGTGAGAAGAATCTCCAGCAATAAAAACATTTTTCCTCCCTTCTACTTCGATCCAACTGCACCCAGCTGGCTTTTTCAGAGCTCTTGTCTTCATTAGCCGTCTCATCTCCAGGACCCCATCCCATCTAGCGTTTGCAGCATATAGGTTTGACATGACTACATAGTTTCCAATATTATTACTTTCAATTTTAAAAAGGCGATCTGCCACATCACGTCCTATTTCCACCTCATGGTGGGTTCTACAAGCACCCAACAATGCGCCCCATATAGTGGCATTAGCTTCAATGGGCATATTAGTCACAAAAGAATAGGCATCCTCAATTCGACCTCCTCGAGCAAGGAGATCCACTACACAAGCATACTGCTCCATAGTTTGTTTAATCCCATGCACCTTCTCTACTGAATCAAAAATCTTCAACCCTTCATCCATCAGGCCAGAATGACTGCAAGCAGACAGAACCGCAGTTATTATAACATGGTCTGGTTTTACACCCAACTCAAGCATGTGAGAGAAAACCCCAACTGATTCTTCTCCCATTCCATGCATTGCATATCCTCCAACCATAGCTGTGAACATAACCAGATCCTTCTGCGGAGTTGACTGGAAGAGATTATATGCACATTTTATACTCCCACATTTTGAATATGCGTCAAAAATAGCTCCCTTCAAGCGAACATCCTCAAAACAAGCCCTCACCACATATCCATGGCATTGCCTTAGCAGGTGGACTGAGGCCATTTGAGCACAAACAGGAAGGAGGCTCATAACAGTCACGGCATCAGGCTTCATTCCATGACCTTTTAACTCATGGAACAGACTCAGAGCTGAACTAGGACAATCATTTTCAGCATAGACTCGAACCATTAGATTCCAAGTGGTGAGATCCTTTTCAGACATCCTGTTAAATATCATGCGTGCATCATCATGTAAACCACAATTTATGTATCCTGAGATCATTGAGTTGCACGTGACCACATTCCTCTTCCTTGATAAACTCTCAAAAATCTTCAATGCATAACCTACGTTACCACACTTAGCATATGCATCAATTATTGCATTCCCAAGAGTAGGTTCAATATTCCCTAGCAAAAAAAACCAGATTTTATTGAAAAAACATGAGCTTCTTTAACCTTATCCACTCTAGATACAATAACACAAAATTGGATCGTAGTTAATATGGTAATAGAGTCAGGTCTTAACCCTTCCCTAAGCATCTTATGTAACAGGTCAACAAACTGATTGTCAAATGTACTCACTGCAAAGGCATCAAGCATAGAATTCCATGTTATCAAATCTTTCTTACAAATCAATGAGAATGTTCTAAAAGCAGCTTCTATGTCACTGCATTTTGCATAAAAACTTATTAGGGCATTTCCAATTGTTGTATCATCACGCAGGCAAGGATGTCGGATGATATAGCCATGGATCTGCTTTCCCACCTGCCAATTATATAAATGGGCACAGACAGGAAGAATACTGATAAGAGTGACAGAGTCCGGTTTGGTTATCTCAATGGAGAGCAATTCAAGAAATAACTCTAATGCTTTCAACCACTCACCATTTGAGGCATATCCGGCAATAATAGAATTCCATGAAACTAAATCCCTTAACTTCATCCTCCGGAACAATGAATGTGCTTCTTCCATCCGTCCAATCCTCAAGTAGAAGCTCATAAGAGCATTAATGACTGAAATATCCGTAATCAATTCAGCCCGCCTCGTCACATAACAGTGGATCTCTTTTCCAAAGTGGTAGGCAACATTCTCTTCTAAAGCACAAACAGGCAGAATGTTTGCAATTGTGGCATAATTTGGTACTGTTGGACCTTTTAGCATTCCGCGAAACAAGTTAAATACATCATCCATCAATTTATTCTTTGCAAACCCAGCAATCATTGCATTCCATGAAACAACATCCTTGTCCGCAATTTTATGAAACGCAGCATATGCATCATCACAAACATGCCCAGATTTAGCATACATGGAAACCAGAGCATTTCCTACAAGGGTATCAGATTCCAATCCAGATCTTATCACATAAGAGTGCACACTCTTTCCAGCATCAAGAGCTCCTGAATGTGCGCACACAGGAAGAATGATAGCGACAGTAATAGAGTTAGGCCTAGGGTCCTCACCAATATGCATTGCATAAAACAACTTCACCACCTCCGAGTCATGATTCCAGGACCCTGCAAACCCAGATAAGACAATGTTCCAAGTGACCGCATCACAGTGACTTACTTGACCAAAAAGTTTCTGGCAATCATCAAAAGCTTTACATTTGGCATACATGTTAAGCAGCGCTTTGGAAACACACTGGCAAGAACTATGGCCCAGTTTAACAACATGACCATGAAGAGCTTTCCCCAAATTGATGTTTCTGATGGCAGCACAGGATTTAAGAATGTCTGCAAGAACTTGGTATTCAGGTTTGAAGCCTATTGAAAATTGTATCTTTTGAAAGAAAAGGGAAAAAGCTTCATTCATCATGCTTGGCATCGGAGTTCTAGTTCAAGCATATTCTCAACCATGTTTTCTTCTCATTCACATCAGTCCTTTAAAACAACACTCTCTGTCATGGGTTTCATCAATACATTGAGAAAACTCTGTATCACTCCATCACTGGCAATACAACGAGATTGAAATGAGTGGGATTTTTCCTTTACCTGCAACTAAAAATTATGACAGAGACCAAATACTATCAGTCATTGGTGAGAAAACATGGAGAATCAATATCAGAAGTCACAAAAGAGTTACATAAGATAATTTTGCAAAATGTTACTCTATACAAAAGAGCACATGCAAACGCATTAATGCGCAGGTAGAAACACACATGGAGGTAATTATCATAAACCTCCATTGGGTCTGCAAGAACTCTGATGAAAGAGTTCAAATAACAAATCTTTTTCTAGGCCTTTATTCGAACAGGTAATGGGTTAAGCACAAAAACCATAATTGGGGAAGATAAAGACAGAAAGTAAAACAAAAATAGCGTACACAACATATGTATATATACAGAAGATGCAAAAGTAGAGTTTAGCTATGTAGGATTGAACTCTACAGCATTATCACTTTACTCCAACAGCAACGGTTATAGAAGAAGGATTGGTTACCTCATAGAAGTATATAGAATATAATTATAAGACCACCGCTTGATGGTGGAAGACAGCATTAGGCTCTGGGCCTCAATGTGTGTGTGCGCGCGTGAGAGAGAGAGACCATACTTGCATGGTTAATCGGATCCTGAAATTGATGAAACGAGTTTGAGCTCGAAAAGTAGTAGTAATGTTCAGGACGAGCTCAAACACTCTGAAATTGACTTGTGCTGAGATCGACTCTCTCTGATGATTTGCAGTCTTAGCTCATGGGCCGTCTGGCATTTGGTCCAATATTTCATCCCACCACCACACAAGTTCTTGGGTCATTTTGGGCCATTTTAAGCACGCACCGTTTTTAAAAAGGCATTGTGTCTAAAATCTAAACCATCATTGAGCGAGGCCCTTTCTATCTTTTCAATGAAAAAAAGACTTTGACGTAATTTCTCCAATGAAGGCTTTGATTTTTATTTATTTATTTTTATATTTTTTTCCCTTTTTCTTTATCTCAGTACTGTTCTAGCATAATTAAACAAACACTCCAAATTATCAACACATATACCAATAGACCTTAATTTCAAACCCAAAACACACAAGCTAATAACCATAAAAAAAAATAATATTAATTAAAAAGGGTCCATTCATTAAACCCACGACTGAGTGTGATACAAGAGAAGGCATTGAACAGAGAGTGAATAGAATATATAGGAGGTACGTAGAGTGACTTCGATGGGGACGCTAGTGTCAACAAACAAATTTTTTTTTTTTTTTTCAAAGGTATGTAAAGCAACAAAAAAAAAAAAAAAAAAAAAAAAAAAAAAAAAAAAAAAAAAAAAAAACTAAACAATTTAATTAAAAAAATAATAAAATTAAAAAATTCAAAGAGTATTAGTTCAAGAACTAGAGAATGTATACCTTAGACTAAAAAAAACAGACCAAAAAACTTCAATAGTCAATAGAGATCCAACGGATGAAGATCCCAACAAAAACAGTTTAAAGTTCTACATTCAATTTCCCTCCTCTTAAAATGCACATAAGCCATTTTAAAGGTAAAATGTAATTCTAGATAGAGGAAAACATATTCACTTTCTAAACTCAAGTTTAGACATAGGCAACCGAAAATTTGCTTTCAAGATGCATATCAGAGAAGCATCTAATTTAAACAATTGCGATTCAAAGCAGTACCAATCCTTGGAGTTTAGAACTGTAACATTAACTAGGTCAATTATCAAACCTAGGACACCAAGGAATCTAACATATAAATGACCTTCTAAAATAAAATAAAATGGCTAGAAAATCAAGGCAGTTGATTAATTTACAGTCAGAATAATATCTTATGTCTATTACTGCTACTTTATTATTTCTTCCCTGCTCACCTATTCTCCTTGATTCTCAGGTTCTATATTTTTTTCCATAAACATGAA